GTATTTTACTGTCGGTAATACCGGCTCAACCCATACTAGACTCACTTTTAATTATAAAGCACAATCCAAATTCCAAATGGGCCAAATGCCCAAATCCCCTTCAGCCCAACCCTTCTACAGTGTCCAAATCCTGAAATCCCCTTCATCCCTTTCGATCTTCACTCTCGAGTCTCGTCTGGGAGTCTGTCGTCTCTCCATCTGCTCGTCGTCTGCTCGTCGCCACTCCCGTCACTTGCTCGTCGCCGCTGCGCCCCACTCCCATCACCGTCGCAACCGCATCTACAGTGGCCAAATCCCCTTCATTTTGTTCGGTCTTCACTCTCGAGTCTCGTCTGGGAGTCTGTCATCTCTTCCATGGGCCAACGACCATCGCAATTTGCCACGTCTGCTCGTCGTCACTCCTGTCACCTGCTCGTCGCTGCCGCGCCCCACTCCCATCAACGTCGCAACCGCACCAGCCACTAGGACCGCTACAGGCTCCAGCTGCCGCTGCCTACCCCACTTTGGTGGACAAGTCACAATTCAATTGCTAGTTATTGGAATTTGTATGGATTTTGTTATAGCAAATGGTGTGGATTTTAATTTGGATTTTGCTACTATTATGCCATGAGGATATTTCAATTAATGTTTTAATGCTATATTTTATAATGTGGTGTGTTTATCATTTTTTAAATACCGTTCTAATATATTTCGATCGTTATCGATGTATTTTCGATCGAATAGTTTCGTTTTCGATATTACCGGAATACCGATGTCGTTTTCGTTTCCGACATTACCGTATCATTTTTGTTTTCGAGAAAAAAATATGAAAGTGGAAATGGTTGAGCACTATACCGATCGTTTCCGATCGTTTTCATCCCTAGCTACATAAGCGGTTGGCTTATTAACATGTGTCCACTATGGGAGGTGCGTTACTCTAATTAGCCCCGCGGCGTACGCTCTCATTTCTTCAGTTACATTGACTCTACTAATCGCATCGGCTCAATTGCAACAGTGATGGAGCTTACTTTTCCGGCGGATTCTCCTCCACTTCACGCTATCGCCGCCTCTAAAATAGCTGGGATTTCTCTTACCGCCACACCTTCACCGGAATCCGGCTCCTCGCCGACTCTTGTTCTGGCGACCGGGTAACTATCGTCAAATCCCCATTCTTTAGTACGCTAAGAATTCTTCTTTACGTGATTCACTTTGTCGCTCGCTTTGTTTCATTAAGCATTCATTAATTTGGTGTTGGAGCTGAAATGGGTTTTGACCTTAACAACGAAATAGGACTATGGTTGAGCCGTCGACAATACATTCTTGTAATATGACTTACTTTCGACCCTTGATTTTATTTTTCATACTTTTTTCTGTACTGAGAATGGTATGGGAGATCTGAAAAGCACTGAGTGGAATGAACTTAATACTCTTCGTTTGAGAATTAACTTCAATCTGACGAAGAACCTGATTTTTATATGGAGATCCATGGATCATGAGGGTATTATAAAGGGTACTCTTAGTTAGATTTCCATGTTTATATTATTCTCTTTTAACTTGAACTTGAAGTTCCTATTTTGACTGAGGGAAAACACTTTTCAGGCAAAGGTTGTGTGGAGCAAATGTTATCCTAAGATATATTGGTCGGATTTCGACTCTACCCAATTTCTATGGTCAGGATGCTTATGAATCAAGCAAGGTGCTCTTCTTATCAAATCATCTCTCGTCTTTCTTATTGTTGGTTGCCGATGTTGTTTCTTCTAATCTTCCTAATCTTTTTATTAACAAATTTTGGTTTTGTAGATAGATGAATGGATCGATTATGCTCCTGTCTTCGGCTCTGGATCTGAATTTGAGGGTGCATGCGGGTTTGTGGATGAGTATTTACTTCAAAATACTTTTTTGGTCGGTAATAGCCTGTCCATTGCAGATGTTTCCATCTGGGCTGCTCTTGCAGGTAAAGTTCCTTACTTTCTGTAACTGAGTCTCCAATTGTGGTTGTTTTTATCACTATATTTTTTCAGTATCCGGTCAACTCATCAGGCAACCAGTTTACTTATATTATCTCAATGTCCTAATTTTGTCTCTGATTGCTTAATATCTATTAATTTAGGCTATGTATAGTAAAACTAGTTGATAAGTTAACTTATAGCTTACAAGTGATATTCGAGCTTATAGCTTATGACTTATAGTTGAAAAGCTAGCTTATATGTCAAAAGTGTTCGGTAAAATTAGCTGATCAGCTAGCTGAAATAAAAATTTCAACGAGCTTATTTGAAAAGCTACCCAAAGAAGCTTATGAAATAAGCTCGAGCTTTTTAAAAAAGCTCGTCCTACCAAACGAAGCTTATTTGAATACAGGAAGCTTATAAGCAAACCAAAATAAGCTATAACTTATTTGGTTACCAACATAGCCTTAATATAGTTGTTTCCTCATGGCCGTGCTATTTTATTTAAGTCATTTATTTAATCTTATACTTCTTAAGTTACTTCTTTTCTACATTTTTAGGAGTCGGTCTGAGATGGGAAAGCTTACGGAAGTCCAAGAAGTACCAAAACCTTGTCAGGTGGTACAACTCGATATCCTTTGAGTATGATGCAGTGCTTACTGATTTTATTGCAACATATCTTGGAAAGAGAGGCATGGCCAGGGCCCCAGCTCTCAAGTCTAGAGACACTCAAGCCTCTACTTCCCAGCCAGCCACAGTTCAGAATGGAGCTCACACAGCTGAAACACCCGCCAATCGGGCCTTTGAGGTGGACCTTCCTCATGCTGAGGTTGGGAAAGTTAAATTACGTTTTGCACCCGAACCCAGCGGCTACCTTCACATTGGCCACTCGAAAGCTGCTTTATTAAACCAATACTTTGCTGACCGGTACAAGGGCCAGGTCATTGTGAGGTTTGACGACACTAACCCCGACAAGGAAAGCAGCGAGTTTGTGGATAATCTCCTCAAAGATATCAAGACTTTAGGGATTAAATATAGTGCGGTGACATATACATCTGACTACTTCCCGGAGCTTATGACTATGGCCGAGAAGTTAATGCGAGAGGGTAAGGCCTACATTGATGATACTCCACGCGAGAAAATGCAGCATGAGAGGATGGAGGGCATAGAGTCTAAGTGCAGGAATCACAGTGTGGAGGAGAATTTGAAGTTGTGGAGGGAAATGATTTCTGGCTCAGAGAGGGGTTTGATGTGCTGCCTCCGGGGGAAACTTGATATGAAGGACCCGAATAAGTCGCTTAGGGACCCGGTGTATTACCGTTGTAACTTGACTCCTCACCACAGGATTGGTTCTAAGTATAAGGTGTACCCAACATATGACTTTTGCTGCCCATTTGTGGATGCCGTGGAGGGCATCACGCACGCGCTTAGGTCAAGCGAGTACCATGACCGTAATGATCAGTATTATAGAATTCAGACGGATATGGGGTTCAGAAAGGTTCATATATACGAATTTAGTCGACTGAATATGGTTAACACTGTTCTCAGCAAGCGCAAGTTGCTGTGGTTTGTGCAGAACGGAAAGGTCGAGGGTTGGGATGATCCTCGATTTCCTACTGTTCAAGGAATAGTGCGTAGAGGTCTGAAGATTGAGGCGTTGATTCAATTCATTTTGGAGCAAGTAAGTTTTGTTTTGGTAATTGTTAATAAAGAAGGCTGTGAAATTATCTTATTTATATCTTAAAACTTATTTTAGCTGGGCTAGATTGAACTGTATTTGGTGTCAGGCATATATATGTGCAGTGGGTGATGCACAAGGGTTTAAACTTACCCTTTTGGTTATTATTGTTCTTGTGCATGTGTTGTGTGTGTGTGTGTATAAATGTTTATGCTTGTGTGTATTATCGTGAATAACTTTACTGTGTCCTTTTTCTCTAGGAGTAATTTAAACTCTTGGTTTTTTCAACTGGTCAGGGTGCATCAAAGAACCTTAATCTTATGGAGTGGGATAAGCTGTGGGCCATTAACAAGAAGATAATTGATCCTGTGTGTCCCAGGCATACAGCAGTTATTGAAGAAAGACGTGTATTGTTTGTCCTAACTGATGGGCCAAAAGACCCATTTGTCCGCATTTTAGCTAAACATAAGAAATATGAAGGTGCTGGTGAAAAAGCTGTGACTTACTCAAACAGATTATGGATAGACTATGCTGATGCTGTATCGATCTCAGTGGATGAGGAAGTCACTCTGAAGGACTGGGGCAATGCAATTGTGAAGGGTATCAAGAAGGACGAAAGAGGAATTGTCACCCAGTTGGTGGGTGTTTTGAATCTTGAAGGAAATGTTAAGAAGACAAAGTTGAAGCTGACTTGGCTGCCGGATTCAAGTGAGCTTGTCAGGCTGACCCTCATGGATTTTGACTATCTTATTACCAAAAAGAAGGTAATATTTGTACTCTGATTTCTGAATTTCACATAGGTAGAGTGGCATTTATTGTACAGTGCAAGTAAAATACAATATTTGATGTTCATTGGTCATACCCGTTTTTACACTAATTCCTGTGTTGGAAGTATTTTCTTTTACGACTCGCTCATTTAGTAGATTATTTGAAAATTGCAGCTTGAGGAGGATGAAGATTTTGTTGATGTGGTCAACCCATGTACGAAAACTGAGACGTTGGCGCTTGGAGAATCGGACATGAGGAACTTGAAGTGTGGGGACGTGATACAGCTGGAGAGAAAAGGGTACTACAGATGTGATGTACCTTTTGTTCGGTCTTCAAAGCCCATAGTTCTGTTTGCAATACCGGACGGCAAGCAGCAAACTGTAGCAAAGTAAGAATTCACCTTATCCTTGATTGTGTCTTGGGCATCAAAGGATATGGAAAAGTATTGTCCTCTGGATATCAACCGAATTTTGTATGCATCATGCTTTGGTTTGATGCCTATTTTGATATATGGTTCGTGACTCTTTTCTTCCTTTCCTGAGATTTTATTTGATATACTTTATTGGTCACTTTTGAAAGGTTATTTGCTCTAGACTTGATTTGATATCTAAAGAAGAAAAAAGTTGCCAACTTTAGTCTAGTATTGTGGGGGGCGGCAGTTGTCTTAATTTGCAGATAGCCCTCAGTTCGGCTCTACAAACATCTGAGTTTTAGCCTTACCTGTCTGGCTGTTGATGTCGGAATAAATGACCCAAAATGGTGCACTCATTATAAGATTTTATGTATTTGTTTTAGAAATGGAAAATATCAATCTTCTCAGCCATGGTTTTAGAAACTTGTGGCAATTTAAATGCATATCAAAAACGGCATGGGTGTACATATTGAAAATTGACGTCCACGCTCAAGAATTTTGCTGCAACACTTCCGACGGAATAGTTCCGTAACGAGACCGTAGAATCTCCCCTGAATTTAAGCTAAGTAATTGTGTGCGATGTATGATTGCAACTCAGAGTAAAACAAAGATAAATTTATTCTTTGAATTCTTCAAATTTTTTAGTGAAAAATACCGAAAAAAAAAGGAAAGGGATCAGATGATGCAGTATAGGACACGTAGTGTTACCCCTCACCCGTAACCCCATAAACAAACCAAAGACAATAAAACCAAATCAGAGAAGAAAGGGGGAAGAGCTAGATCAGAGAAGTGAAGGTTTCCTGAAGTTCATAGCCAACATGGGGATGCAGGAGATTACTATGGAGGGATATCCATTCACCTGGGGTAACAATAGACAAGCAGAAGGCTTTGTGGAGGAGAAGTTGGATAGAGTATTTGGGTCCTTTGGTTGGTTGTCAGCTGATCCAGGAGCTAAAGTCTACACTCAATTCAAAAGCTCATCTGACCACTTTATGCTGATATTGGAGTCAGGGCTTTCTAAACCTAAATTCAAAATAAGGTTTATCTTTGATAAGAGATGGGTTAAGAAGGATGAGGTGGTGGAGGTTGTTTCTCAGGCTTGGAAGGAGGGGGAAGATGGAACTCCAATGTTTAAATTTAAGGAAAAATTGAAGAAAACCAGAATGGCTCTGACCAAGTGGAGCAAAGCCTTAAAAACTGACAATGCCAAGACTATTGAGAGACTATCTCTAAGCCTGGAGGAGATGAGAAGGTTGGGTGGTCAGAGGAATTGGGTGGAGTGGGAGAAGCTGAAGAAAGAATTGGATCAAGCTCATTTGGCTGAAGAAGAGTTTTGGCACCAAAAAGCTAGAGTGCAATGGATTAAGGAAGGTGATAAGAACACTAAGTTCTTCCATGCCCTTACAATGCAAAGAAGGAAGGTGAATGCTATCTCGAGACTGGTGGATGACAATTTTGGAGTGGCTTCCTCTCAAGAACAAATAGAGAAGTGTATAACTAATTTCTATCAGTTGTTGTTTACTAGTGAAGGCTCTGAGGGGGAGCAGGATATCTTGAGGTTGATTCCCAGATCAATCACTGAAGAACTTAATGATAAGCTTATTGCACCAGTGGATGAAGAAGAAGTGAAAGCTGCTCTGTTTTCTCTTAATCCCAACAAAGCCCCTGGGGAAGATGGTATGACACCACTTTTCTTTCAACATTTTTGGCTGATTATCAAGGATGATCTTTGTTCTGCTATTTACAGTTTCTTTGAATATGGAATGTTATTGAAGAGTTGGAATCATACTGTTATTACCTTGATCCCAAAATGTATGAATCCTACTTCTCTTAGTCATTTTCGTCCAATAAGCATGTGCAGTGTTTCTTATAAAATTATTGCCAAGATCATTTCTGTGAGACTTAAAGACTGTCTGAAATTTTGTGTTCATGAGAGTCAGTCTGCATTTATTCCTGAAAGACAACTTATGGACAATGTGGTGCTGGCTCAGGAGGTTATTCACTATCTTAATAGACACAGAAATGGAAAAGTCAGTTTTATGGCTGTTAAGCTTGATATGATGAAAGCTTATGATAGAGTTGAGTGGAATTGTGTTGTGAGAGTAATGCTTCAGATGGGATTCAATTCTGTGTTTGTGAAGTGGATTTTTGCTTGCATTTCCTCTTCTGCCTTCTCTTTCAATGTTAATGGTAGAGTTTCTGGCTTTGTTGTTCCTTCAAGAGGGTTAAGGAAAAAAGACCCTATTTCTCCATACCTATTTTTTTTGATATCTGAGATATTTTCCAAATTGATCATGCAAGCTAATAGTAGTGGAGAAATGAAAGGAATTTCAGTTACTAGGGGAGGCACTGCTTTAACTCATTTACTATTTGCTGATGATTCTTTATTATTATTATGTGCTGCGGATGTGCAAAATGCTTCTTGCTTGTTGAATATTTTGTGGAAGTATGAGAGGTTTAGTGGTCAGAGAGTTAATTTACAGAAGTCTTCTGTGTTTTTTAGTAGAAATGCCTCTCCTCAGCTGAAATCAGATATTTGTCAACTGTTGGACGGTATTGCTATGTGTTCCTCTTCTAGATACCTTGGTTTGCCTTTGGGGATTGGCAAGACAAAGATTGAGGTGTTTGATTTTGTTCTGGCTGCTGTGAAAAAGAGATAATTAGTTGGAAGAACAAGTTCCTTTCCACTGCTGGGAAGGAAGTACTTTTGAAATCTGTGATTAATTCTCTTCCAATATTTGTTATGTCTTGCTTCTCTTTACCTGTGAGTGTGTGCAAGCAGATCTCAAATCTTTGTGCAGCTTTCTGGTGGTCTAAGGGGACTGATCACGGGAGGGGTATTCATTGGATGGCATGGAATAAGGTGACTACTCCTAAAGAAGCTGGGGGTTTGAGGTTTCAAGACATTAGACTATTCAATGATGCCTTGATTCTTAAGCAAATATGGAGGCTTCTTACTAAGCCCAACCTGTTGTTGACAAAAGTGTTAAGAGAGAGGTACTTTCCTTTTGGTTGTGTGCTAGATGCTACAATCACATGTTCTTCTTCCAGGGTTTGGAGTTGCTGGAGCAAAGTGCTAAAAATTCACAGGCAATGTTTTGTGAAGGAGATCAAGGATGGGCTCACTACCAAGGTATTGTCTGATCCTTGGGTTCCTTCCTTAGCTAATGGCATTCCTTTAGTAGCTGCAGATGCTCAAATATTAGAATCTCTGAAAGTTGCTGACTTATTAGTGGATGGAGGCAGAAGTTGGGATGCAAATGTCATTAGGAGGATTTTTACATCTCATTCTGCTGAAGCTATTCTGAAGATCAAAAGTATGGACCCTGCAAAGAGAGATAGATGGAATTGGTCTGGAGATCCTAAGGGCATGTTTTCTGTTTCCTCTGCCTATGCAAAAGCCATGGTGAAGAAAGTTTTGGGATTGGATTGTCCTCAAAGCAGTAGTGCTGGGAGCAAAGATAAAGAAGTCAGGCTCAGATGTTGGAAGTTAAGGGTGAAAATGAAGTTGAGACATTTTCTGTGGAAAGGTATTACTAACTTTGCCTACATGTACCAATTTATGCCACAGGGGTGTTGCTGTGGACTGGATTTTCCCTGTCTGTAGGGATGTGGTTGAAACATCATGGCATCTATTTTTTGAGTGTTCTCGTGCTGAAATTGTCTGGAAGATGGCCCCGGTTTCTTGGGATTTTTCTCAATCTGGCAATATGGATTTCAGGAGTTGGTGGTGGTGGATCACTGACTTGAAAAGGTCTGCTGTGTTTGAAGCCCGTATTCAGCTGTCTACTTATATTTTATGGTGGCTTTGGAAGGCACGGAACCTTTGGGTATTTAAGAAGACTTGGCTCTCGGAGCAGATAATTGTGAAAGAGCCTGTGAGAGAATGGAGAGAATTTGTGGCTTTGGGGGGTAATGGAGGAGATTTATGGCTAGGGCTAGGTTCTTATGTTCAGTGGTTCTAGCTATATCTCTTGTTGCTTTGTTCATTAGCTTTTCTTTGGTGTTTAGTTTGCTTTGGTTTTTTCGGTTTCAGTTGTTTTTATTTTGGGTTTGGTGGTTTGCTGTCCAAAGGGATCAAATTCTTGTATTTGCCTTTGGTATGGGCTTGGTTTTTAGGCCACCGTTGGTGTGGTTCTCCTTGTATTTGTTGTTAAGGCTAGTCGGCCTTTCGTTTGTAAGACGTTTATTTGGTATGAGATTATCTATCGTTTAAAAAAAAAATAATCTTTTCATACAATTATGGATCTGTTTGTTTAAAAATGTGGGAGTATCACTTTCAAACATAAATATTTTGGTATTATGGGCCGGTTGTGCCATAATTTTAAAATAAAATTACCACCTACCATAAAAATTGAGGATCGGACATTAGTTTAAATTTACAATAAGACTACCATCTTCATTTAAAATAAGACTGCCATAATCATGAAAATGAGAGGTCATGAAAGATAAATAAAAATACTAGAATGTGAATT